GCGAGCTGCGACGACACGGGCGCGGCCGTGGTGGACGACGCCGGCGGCGTGCTGGGGGAAGCGCTGCACTGCCAGGGGGACGTCCATTCGCGGTAAGGACGTGCCGCTCGCAAGGGTGATGTGGTGGTTAGGTTGTAACGCCGTCCGTGTAAGAGTCTGCTCCGGAGAACTCGGGTGGGTGTAAAGACCCATCCCCTGCACCTTCTGCCTGAGATACTGCTAAGGGCGAGGAAAGAAACGCTGGGCATTGAACACATTTCCTCTGGTATTTTCTTTCAAAAAGTGACAAATTACCCAGCTTGAATTACAGATGAAATCATTATTACCGTTAAAACCACCAAACGTCTCGATTTTTTTAAAGGAGGATTAATCAAATACAGGCATGGGTGGCTAGGTACACGAACTGACAGGTGAGGGCTGGCAAATACTAAGTTACAGACGTGGCTTTGGAACAGCCGTGAGATCTATTTGAGAGGTATGCGTGCCAAAAAAGGGCAGGTTACATCCTCTTCTGACCTCGCAGCGATAGTTGCACTCCCTTCAGCGCACAGACACCCTCCACGCTGAACAGGGCATCTGAGAACGTACGAAGGAAACAGAGTGGATGCGGCAAGGTGAAGAGGTGTTTAAAATCTATCTTCGTGCCGTTCTGCCTGTTACGCCATACAAGCGTGTTGTAATTCTTTGTTTTTACCAGAGCAGGTGGAATAATTCCTTTGGTGGCCCAGCAACTTCACAGAGAAAACGTCGAGCGAGTAGTGAACGAGGCGCTCCGTGCCAGCGGGGTTTCCGTGCGTGAGCTTGCAGCTATCGCGACCACAGTGAAACCGGGCCTTGCCCTGAGCCTGGAAGTGGGGCTGCAGTACAGCTCGAGCCTGGCCAGCGCGCACCGGACACCGTTCATACCCATCCATCACATGGAGGCCCACGCGCTGACCATCAGGCTGACCCAGCGCGTGGAGTTCCCCTTCCTCGTTCTGCTGCTCTCAGGGGGCCACTGCATCCTGGCAGTGGCACGAGGAGTTTCGGATTTCCTTCTGCTCGGACAGTCCATAGATATAGCGCCGGGTGACATGCTGGATAAGGTAGTACGTCCTTACGCGGGCCCATCTAGGCGTTTGTTCTTGTTATTGCAGCTGTACTACACAACGGTAGTACTGTCATCAGCCTGACGAGCCTTGCTTAGCATCTGCTTTCGTCACAACCAGAGATTTACGACACAAGAGGCTGTTAAAAATCTATGCGTAGCATCAGCTATAACTTAAGTAAATTAATTACATTTTTAGCAAATAGACAACAGAAGCAAAATTGGTGTTGGAATCATAGAACCACAGAATGGTTTGGGTTGGAAGGGACCTTAAAGCTCATCTGGTTCCAACCCCCCTGCCATCAGCAGGGACATCTTCCACCAGCCCAGGGTGCTCAGAGCTCCATCCAACCTGGCCTTGGACACTGCCAGGGAGGGGGCAGCCACAGCTTCTCTGGGCAGCCTGGGCCAGTGTTTCACCACCCTCAGGGGGAAGAATTTCTTCCTAATATCTCATCTAAATCTGCCCCCTTTTAATTTACAGCTGTTCCCACTTGTCCTATCACTACACACCCTGTGAAAAGCCCCTCTCCATCCTTCCTGTCGGCCCCTTCGGGTACTGGAAGGCTGCTCTAAGGTCACCCAGGAGCCTTCTCTTCTTAACGCCCATTATACGAACGAGTTGTGTGAACTTGAGAAGATCGATAGCGATATTTTGAAGGGTGCTGTCAGGTTTAAAGCAATACACCCTAAGTCATTCCTCACCCATTGTTTTGTGCAGTTTGAAAAGCCTGGTTTGGCTTTCAGAATCCAAGTTTCCTGGGTCACTGGGTACAGTCTGTAAAATTGGCCACTCACAGTTTTTGTTCTCAAACACAAGCAGAGTTTTTAAACAGTATTTGTGTGTATTAATTAAAGAAGTGGGGGAGTGATGGAGTCAGAAGGGGGATTGTTCAAAGCTGAAAGCAACTTTGTTCCTGTTTATCTGGTAGTAAGTGTAGCACTCCGTGTGTGTTTCCTACAGTGTCAAAATTGGTTAATTAATGTTTCCTGCAAAATTCATTTATCCTCGTGTTTGCCCAAATTGTTCTATAATTGCATTTCTAATTACTCCAGGACAAAAATAATCCAGCTGGCGCATGTCTTGTCCTTTTTGTGCCCCGTTCGGAATTTGAGGTTGGATTGGATTTGGTGGTGTCTAACTTTACTCCACGGGCTACAATGCAGTGATGCAGTTACCGGAGCCATTAATTGAGGTCTCTGCTCCGAGCCTGTTGTTTACTGTCTCCTTAGGTAGCAAGAAGACTCTCCTTAAGAAAGCACCCAGAGTGCCACGGCATGGCTGGGGGGAAAGCGATCGAGCACTTGGCTCAAACTGGGAACTGGCGACAGCACACGTTCCGCCTTCCCATGCAACAGTACCGGAACTGTGACTTCTCCTTTTCCGGACTCCAGAACCTGATCAATAAAGCCATTGTACAAAAGGAAAAAGAAGAAGGTATTTTTAAACCAAGTCAGATATAAACCATATTTTTGATGACCCACGCTCGGGAAAGCCCACCTGATCGTATGTTTTTATAGGTATTCAAGAAGGTGAGATCCTGTCCTGCGTTAAGGACATTGCTGCTGCCGTACAGCACACAGTGGCTCTTCATATTATTCAGCGGACGTATCGAGCCATGCTGTTCTGCATAAAAAATAGCATATTACCGTCAAAAAATGCAACTTTGGTGGGTATACGTTATTTTTTTTCCTTTTTCTATTTCACTGTATAACATCATTTGAAGATGGAGATGCCTTGTTGTACTTTCTCTCTTGACAGGTGAGGGAGATGTCAGTATTACATTGTTAAAATACCAGGATTAAAGTAAAAGTCATGTAGATATTTATAACAAAGTCTTTCATAGTTAGGTTTTAAGATGGAAAGAGATTTTCTTACCACCTAATCTGACCTTCCGTGACAATTTAGGCCCTGTCACTTGATGCAGTGCTCCCCGATACTTGACAGCTGTTTTAGTTATAACATGCTTTTACTCAGGAATCTTTTTTAACAAAATAAATTCACTTATCATACTCTTTCCTGATACGTTTTCAAATATATTTTTTAAACTTCAAATGCGTTAATTTATTGCTTTCTGCAGAACTTCATCTGATAACCTTTTTGTAAATGGGATGTTAGTTACTGAGTGCGACCCGTCAGTCTTTTGAGTTAATGTCTTCTTTCTTCTGGAAACTGCTGTCAGGTGGTATCAGGAGGAGTTGCAAGTAATCAGTATATCCGAAAAGGTCTGCAGACTTTGGCAGATGTGAATGATTTTGCTTTTCTGTGTCCTCCTCCGAGACTCTGCACTGATAATGGCGTTATGATTGCATGGTAAGAGTTGATTCTCTTTGCATGTGTTTCTAGAATGTTCTTTAAAAGTTGACATCAGAGTCAAGAACTTGTTTAGGGTTTGTCAACCACATACACAGAGGCAGACAGATGCGATACGTGTTTTTACAGAATTGCTTTCTTGCTTAGGAATGGCGTTGAAAGGCTACGTGCAGGACTTGGTGTTTTACATAGCCCTGACGGCGTCCGCTATGAACCAAAGTAAGTGACTCCGTTCCTTCACAGCCTGTTTCTTCACCGACTCACTACGGGCCGTGAAAGTGGAAGGAGGTGCAGGCTAAAAAGCGGTGCAGAAGCTGATGAGGAGTGTCTTTGCAGTGCATCTAAGATTTAAAAGCTACCAGCACTTCCTTTTCAATGTGGTGGTGAAATACAAATGATTGTGTCTGGCATTGATGTTTGGTTTAGTTCAGAAACTTAAATTACCGTGCATCGTAACAGTTCTGTGCATTTTCCTGTTACCACTGTGGTATGGGAAAACGGGAGCAAGTTCAGCTGTAGTATGCTCCCCCTAGCTTCTCGGTCACTGCAGACATAAATCAAATGCTCCGAGTCAAACTGTGTGCTCATAATGAGCAATCAATTTAAAAAAATAATTTGACATACAACATCTGGTAATACTGGGCTTTTTTTACTGATAATACTGATTTTTTTTTTTAATGACATGTTAGGTAAGACTTGTTCTATAGATTTAAGTAGATCAAACAAAATTCTAGTATTTCAAAAGTCCCAGGTGGTCTTAAACTTGATTTTTTTTCAGGTTTTTCCCTTTTCCATTTCCAAGAAAACAGATTTGGAAGGTCTCAGGACAAAAAAAAAATAATCATAATTTTAACAAGGAAAATGATAAAATACTCTTCTTCAGACACAACTTGCTTTATATAGCTCACTGAATAAAATACGACATCTTATTTGCTGTAGACTACACATTCTTTCAGATTATCACAGGAGGAGATGCCTGTGAATCTCCAGTGGGTCTTGCATTCATCAGTGAGAAGTAAAATGAATTATGAACTAAAATGAGAATCTAAATAAAACAACATCCCCAAATGATGGCTTTGAAATCACAGCTGTGTTTCCTGAGTTTGGAATGTCCACAAATGCAAACGTTTCTTCAGTGTAAAGATGTTTCTAGGTACAGCTTCTGAGGGACCATTTTAATGGTCACGCAGTCTTACAGTCCAGGGAATCTGCAAAAATACTGCGACTCCCGTGCCAAGTGTAAAAAAAAGTCTGTAGATCTGCACATCAGTGTGATACAGCAATAATGTTATTTATTTTTAACAAAGACATAATTTTATTGTTTTCTAGAGCTCCCCTTGGAATTGATATTTCAAAAAGAGTTGAAGAAGATTCCATCAAGGTGCCAAAACTAAAAAAGAAGATACGATGGTTGGCATCTTAAAAGTAACTTTGTAAATGCAACTATAAATTGCTCAATAAAAACTGCTTCAGTGCTGTTATGTTTACTGACAGTACTTGGTTTACAGGTGAGGAAAATCACCTGTCAGAAATAAATGCTGTGTGGTATCACCAAAATGACTGCAGTTACTGCTCCACAAATGTCTGAGAGTTCTAGGTATTAAAACAATTAAGAAAAATTAGAACTGTGCTTTCTAATGCTACAAACTTACATAAATGAAAATATCTCCACTGTTTATACTTTACATAATAAGGTTTATATATTTACAATATCTACCATATTATAATTTAACAATATAATTCATATAAAATTTATAATTTGCACTACTTGTTTAAAAAAATTAATACCTTCCATGCCTGGAGAGTTACAGAACATGAACGCGAGACAGCACAGATTTTCAAGGAGATCTCAATGAGTTAGCTGTAATTTCAGCAGTACCTCATTTTCTGCTGCTGGTGTAAGCAGCCTATTCTTACACAAAATTAAAATGTTGGGGTATAGGGTTAATGCCTTTTAATTTTCTTGCTTTTATAAACAGCTCAGTAAAGCTAAACACAGTGCGAGTAAGCTGTTAAGGTACAAGTTGTGAATTTTGATGTGAATAAGGAGCTACCTGACCTTGCCTTTTGATAATCAGTATAATATGCTTTTACATTATTCTTAATTGCAATGGTATTTACTGGAATAAATACTTCAAGTATTAAGCAACTCTTCAATAAGAGTTTTATAATTCATAATACATACGTTTAAACTTGCCTCTGATTAAATACAAACAAATAATTGGGATTTGTGGGACAGTTATAAACAGACAAAAAATTGCCTGCTTTTCAAAATTTTTTAAATTATCTTTTTTAATGTAAGATGTAACAAATTAATAAGGTACATGCATTATTTTTTCTCCAATACTTAATTTGTGGCAGAAGGTTAAGATCCCTCATTGAGCAGAAAGCACGGGAAGAGTACAGAGCGTTTACATTTTGTTATGTAGCACTTCTGGAGTCTCATTCTCATGGGATTTCAACTACAAGTAATTCATCTTTTGGTAATTTATCTGTATCATTAAGTAGCTTATCTTCTTGGTAAAGTAATGCATCATTTAATAAATGTCACTATCACATTTGATAGGCCCTATCCAGCAGGATGTTTCATTGAAGATGATGATTTGATGATTCCAGTTTGCTGTCTGTCTTGCAATGTATGCATCTGTACGTCTTCACAGCTAATGAAGTGTGAGAGAATGCTGTACTTGGTTAAAATTAGCATCAGAGATAAGGAAAAGTTAATAGGTTTGTCTAGACTGTGTTGTTGCTTGGTTATCTATTAATAACTGGATAAATGGAAAAGTTTGCCAACATGAAATTATATGGTTTCTTTCTACTACCTAAAACTATTTAGAAGCCTTCCAAAATTATGTCTCATGTTTCTCGAAACATCAGAGGCCTCTTAGTTTGGAAAAGAAACTATTTGCCTAGGTATAAAAAGCACAACTTTTTGTTCTTAGGGGTCCTAGGTGACACATAACTTCTAGAAACGCTCCAGCACTACTACAGAGAAAACAAATAACGACCAGTAGTTGCATTTCATCAGCCTAATGATCCTCTAGGTCCAATCTCCACCTGCTTTAGAGCATGATGCAAGAATTCTTGCAAACAGCCCAGGTTAAGGTACAAGGGAGACAATTTTCCTCAGAGCACCAGTAAGAAGTCTACCACTGCTTTGAAGCAGCCTGAGACTTAAGTTTTTGTAATAAACATTTCTTTACAGACTTGACAAGTCATTTTGAAAACCAACTTACATCCTTAGGGCTACTTTGTAGGAATAGATATATTATGCTTTGTTTTTTTCTGGTATGATTTCCCCTTTCTCTACTTAATTGCACCAACATAAAAACAGTGTGAGGCAGCACACTGAGTACTAAGCTCTGACTTAAAACACTAAAAAGCCCACTTAAAACACTGGAGAATGTGTATCCAGTTTTTCTTACGTTAACTTTGCAATCCTACTGTACAGAATTAGAAGAACAAGCTAACTCCAGCTTCTCTTCAGAGGAAGTCCATTCATATTTCTATTTCAGCCCCAGGATTGCATTCACGTACTCACCCAGAGTGCCTTCCTTTTATTTTTTTTTGAGAGACCTTTTTTTGTTCATTTAGAAGAGATCTTTCTTGAAGTACACAGTGGATGCGTTGCAACTTTAGAAGTAGAAGTAGCAGAGCTAAAAGTAAAAGGAGAGGTAGCAAGCTAGGGGAGCTAATGAGGGACAAGGAACAGCCTGGAGGAAGCTTCCCAGTTTCTCTGGGAACAGAGCCAGCCCCCGGCTGGGAAACCCCAACCAACCCAGCCCTGCAGAAGCAGCCAAGGATGGAGAGGCTGCACGGAACGGCCCCAAAACACCCAGGGTGCGTGTGGGCCATCTGTTTCTCAAGTAACGAAAGGGCAGGCACGATGCTTGGAGGGCAGATCTCCAAGAGGCGACAAAAGGCCCAAGACCGTTGGCCCTTTTTGGTTCTGGCAACCCAGGCCAGCTCCTCACCGCACCCTCCCTTCCAAAACCATAACCTGAACCCTCTCCTAAAGCAGAGCTGCAAGACCACCCCTGTTCTGTAACAGAGGAAAATCTACGGTACTGAATTCAATACAGATGACAGACTGGACAGACTCACTACGCTTTTTGCGACACTGACGTCAGTCAGGGGGACGTCACGCGTGGGAAAGCCAGCCACTGGCTACCCCCCCCTCCCCCCAGCCCCCCGTCCCCGCCGAGGATGCACTCACAGCCAGTCTCTAGTACAAGTACACATCTACATGTATCACTTTAATAACAACGTCCAAGTGCATAAAAAACCAGACCAATACAAAAAGATTTACTGAACTTGCCTACAGGATAAATGCAGCCTCTCAAGACGTAGCTTTATAACTCATCTACTGAAAATAACTTCAGTCTGCTGCATGTGTCAGATGCTTTCTCACTGTTGCTCTCTAGTTTCGCAATCCGAGATCCAAACTGTACAGCCCTTTTTGGCAGAACGGTCGAGGCCGTAAGGCCAAACTCCTTGGCTGCAAGGCGCAGAATCAATTTCTCACCAATTCCTCGAGGTAAAGTCAAGTCAGCTTTTTCTGAGATGGGCAGAGAATTGAGGAATGAAACAACATCTTCGTCAAGAAAAGGAAACCTAAAGGAAAGACAGACATGGGGAAAGACTCTTTGAAAACTTCACACAAATAGTCTTGATTTTTCCCTTTACTGCATGCGAAGACTTCAGAGTCTGTCAATTCCTAAACAGAGATGAACCTTCGATGTTAGTGTCACAGTACTGAGGCAAGCATCCAAAGCACTCACGCTGTTTTGGAGAAAGAGAATACCGTACATCAGGTATAAACTCAGAAGCCTGGAAATTTTCAAAACTCAAGTGAATAAAAGAGTAGGAACAGGCATCAGAAACGTTGGGTTTATACAAAACAAGAATTACGAAGAAAATCAGAAAATACAATGGAAGAGCAAGACAAATTTTCAAGTTACACTTCTCAAGATAACCTCTAAGTACTTACAAATACTGTAGGAAGCTACACTGTAACTGTGAAACAAAAATATTTACCCCACAAATTCTGGCAACATTCCAAATTCCAGGCATTTCTATCTGAAGGCAGGCACCATTAACAGCATTGCCCATCCACCACCACAACTGGTTTTTGCTAAACTGAAAGCGTGCAGCCAAGAACAGCATTGGAAAAACACTGGCACAAAGCTCATGTGACTGGCCTCTGCTACAGGACAACACCTAAGGAATTTTTTTACAAGTTGGTGGTGGCACGGAGGAAGTAAACACAAATAAAATGATTCTCTAACTATTCCGAGTTAACAACGAGGAAATGCAGTGGACAGTGATCATGCCTGTACTGCATGGACAGGAATACGCGGCTTCTGTGTTGTGTTGTCACTCTGCAAAGCTACTCCCCAAATCACCACACTTCAAAGTTGTGCAAAAGACTGTTCCATTTAAAATGGTAAAACCAACTTGATTTTGCCTATTTTAACATCAGTTGCTGCTTCTTAAAACTTCTAGATGGAAATCCAATGTTCAAGTTGCTAAATTTCCTTAAGTACCTCTTCCACACTACCACAGCTCACTTGTTTTAACCCCCCCCCAACACAGTACACGTTAACGAAACTGCAACAGAACTTAGAGACAATAAAATGCATAGAAGTTTCAATTAAGCTTTCTGTTGGGGTGTTAAAAGCAGAATCTAACTGGCAAAACCAGTTTTGCTTCATGTTTAAATAGTAATACCTGGCTTCTTTTCCATGATCACCAATAATCCTGTCATCTCTGCCAAGATTTCTTGAAGAAATGCGATCTAACTCCATTTCAAGTTCTTTATTCAGACCCTCTAAGCCGTATTTTTTGAAGCACACACGATGTCGAGAATACCCAGCAAGCTGCTCGTCTGCTCCAATTCCTGTAAGCACGACCTGCGAAAACAGAACAGAAGAAATCTTTCTTAACATCTGTGCAAGCTAACACTATGTAACAGATCTTAAAGGTTTAACTACATCTTGAGGAGAATAACTTTAATACACATTTTCTAAATATATTACCTATCACGACGGGATGTGCCTTACACATTTACAGAGCCTGAAACAGTTGCAAATACAGTCACTGGAAGCTTGAAGCAGGTTCACAATCAGACCTAGAAGTACACACAAACACTTCTGCCAAGGCAAGGAAATAACACCAAAATAATGCATGCACCACCAAAGATACTGGTGTATTTCAGAGTGTCTTTGTTAGTTTCTATTACAATAAACAGCATTTGTTAAGCATCGACCTTTATAAGAAAAAAATTGTTGCCACAGATGATGCAGTATGTCGCAGGTTCTAAATAATCGTCTGAACATACACACAGATTATTACTAATTCACCAGCTACTGGGTTAACAACAATTGCATTACACGAAATAAAAACGTGTCATATTGTTCTATC